GGTGCCGGAGCTCCCCAAGCCCTCCCCTCTCCCCAGGGGATGCGGGTGCCAGGCAGAGCCCACGCTGGCCAGGGTGGCTGGACAACGGCCCTTTTGAACGGCACAAGCCCATCTGGGGTGGCAAAAGCCTCAGCACCACAGGGAGCAGGATGGGACCTGTGCTTGAGAGAGACGCTGCAGAGCACCCTAGCCTACAGACAGCCCCCACACATGGGAAGTGGTTTGCAGCCTTGCAGCCAGCCCAAAATAAATCGTGAGGCCTAGCAAACATCCGAGCTCGGCTGCCGGTCTCCGTGCATGACCACCGCCGCTGGGAAGCTCCATGTGGAGTGGGGGCTTACACCTCCCGTGGGGTTGCCTACCCCCCGTGAGTGCTGGGTGGGGACCGACACCAGACACATCCCTGCCAGCATGCTGCAAAGAGAGGGACCAAGCCAGTGCTGGTAGACACGGGGTCTTCAGGAGGTCCAAGGGCCACACATTAAGGAAGTCCCCCAGCTGTGGCAATTAACTTTTTAAACTTTTTAAACCAGTTTAAAAGTTAGCCCTGGTCTCAGCCCCCTTCGTGAGCAGGGGAGGGTCATGGTGCTCGGCCATCCCCGAAGCACCCGTGGGATGCAGCCAGCCCACCCAAACCTCCTGGAGAGCTGGGCTCCAGGGGCACTAATGAAAATGAAAACAATCGATTTGTGGCTTGCTTCTTTTCCTTTTTGCTTGATTATGATGAGCACACAAGGCCCAGTGGGTTCATTTATAAACAGGCTTTGTTTTTCATCCTAGCAGAGCTCTCAATTTTCCGCCTGGTCTACCTTGCTCTTTCTGGAGGACTCACCAAAGATCTGAGTGAGGTGGGCTGTCCTCCAGGGGAGAGGATGCAGCCCCAGAAGAGACACTTCATCTGGTCCTCCCAGGCATTTGCAGGGTTTGAGGGATGCTGAGGGGTGCGGGTCGGGCATGCCCCAGCCTCTGGAGCCGGCAGCCGGGGCGAGCCAGGAGCGCAACCCCACAGCCGCTTCCCTAAGGCTCAAAAATTGCTAAAACTCAAGTTTTCCCTGTTTCTTTCCCTTTCATGCCAAGGATGGAGAGGGCTGTGGAGCAAGGAGGCTTTTTTATTTCACTTTAATTTGCTTCGAAATACTGTACACTTAATCCTCTTTGTTTTGTTTCAAAAGAAAGGCCAGGAAAAATTTGAGGCATCGGCCATTAGAAAACAATAGTATTCCCAGGGGTATTTTTTTCAGCAAATGCCCTTGCAGGAAGAAGATTGAACCTTTAACGAGATACATTTTTCTTACAGCTATGAACATCTTCCTGGCGTGACACGATTTCAGGGAAACACAAAGGGGTCTCTTGTGCAACGCAGCGGGAGGTGGCCCACCCGGCGGGGTGGCCGCGCTCTCCCCTCACCCGGCACAGTGGAGACAGATGGTTCCCAGTCACTCCCGCGTGCACAGGTTCCCTTCGGAGCCAGTTCCGGGACATGACATCATCTCAAAAATTCCAACATTTCTCCAGAAATGTCAAGAATGGTGGGGGTGAAATTTCTGGACACTTATGGAAAGTCACCGGTGCCTGAGCTCTGAGCAGGACAGGATGGAGACTGCTGCAGGTGGAAGCGGAGCTTGTCGTAGAGGCAGTTTCTGAACTCAGGACATTTTTAAGTACTTCCTTTTCCGAGTGAATCCTGACTCCTCAGCATTAAGACCTGCTATAAATAGCAACTTACATCAGCCAGTCTCACCATTTTTTTCAGGGTTCCCCTTTCATTCAAGATCGAGAATTTCCCTATTTCTGCTATCACAGGATTTATTTTGGGCACTTGCTTTACTTAGCACTTTCTCCTGGGATTTTTTGGGGGCTTGTAGAAAACCTCCGTCATATCCCTCTATGTAAATTGGTGCAACATCAGCCAGACTGCTTCGGACAGCCCGTCCTGCCGACTCCAAGCACTGCCTGCTGGCCGTGGGGGCAAGGGGAGACCACAGGCTGGGACATGGATCCTGAAACCAGCCGGAGCCACGGTGGGAAAACTTCCACCTTACACCACCGTTTTGCTGTGCTATGAGCCTAATTCCCCGAGGTGCTCCAGCCCACTCTTCCACGGCCACCTCTCCTGGTCCTTCATCTGAGACACGCAGTTTCCCCTCTTTCTAAAAGGGGGAAGAGCTGGAAGAAATTACTTTCTCGTTTCATCGTGACTGGAATGAGGGGGAGTGGGCAAGAAAACATTTTTTAGGAGCATGTTGCAACATCTCAGGGCATCACTGATATGACTATAGCCTTCCACCTCTATCCAGCCTGCAGGGAGCTGGCAGAGTGGGGGCTTTTGTCAGATTTCTAAGGGAAAAACAGACCCCTGGAGAGCAAACACCCTGACTTTGGGGTTATTTTTGGCTTTCAGCAGTAGAAAAGTTTCAGCCCTTACCCGGCCGCTGTAACACGTTATCTAGGCTAAGCTGATCCTAAACTGACTCACCTAAACTGACAAAATTTTTTTGATTCATTAAAAAATGGTCCCCAACCGTCTAAAATAATTTGTCATCTGCTTGCTGACAAAGGTATAAAGGCATGGAGGTTTTCAGCTGCCTGAAATGGAAAAATACCTCATTGAAAACATTCGAATGATCAATGCAGACTTCCAACTAATTCTTCTGTTTTAATGAAACTTGTTTTTTATCAGAACATTTCTGCACCATAAATGGTGTTTCTCCTGCCTGCCCTACCCACGCCGTGCGCCTTGGGAGCAGGACAGGACCAGATGGCTGTAGGTGGCAGATCTCAAGACATGACCCATGAATGCTTGAAAGTACAATCACAGGGAACAGCTCAGAGGCAAATCACGCTCTTACAAGTTATATTCCCTGAGCAATCAGGCAGAGGAGCCAAGTAAGCCGACGCTAGCTCAGAGCCAATTTCTGGTCCAGCTGGCGTCCGGCTGAACGCCGGGTTCCCACCTCCTGCCTGGCTGGGCGCCCTGCCTGCGGAGGCAGGCTCTCTCCTCATCCTCCCAGGATATTTGGGGACAGGCAAGCTGACAAGCGGAGGGGGGAGTGGGGTCTGAACCGACGGGTGAGCCTGTAAGGTGCCTCTCTCTGCAGATGGCAAAGGGAAGATGGGGAGGGGACCAGCTTGGCCATGGTGTGGCCAGGAAGGAGCTGATGCTCAGCTTGGCAAGAGCCGCATTTGCTCCATGGGGTAGATCTGCCCTCCCCAGCCAGGGCGAGGGGCAGGCGCACCACCACGGCTCCCAGCAGGAGCCTCCCTAAGGGTGGGCCACCTCTGGGACTTCTCCCGTGCAAGCCCAGGACCACGCCGCCCTCCAGACTCCTCTCTGCCTGCACGGAGCAGAGCAGCTAACCCGCATGGAGCTAACCTGCTGCGGCTGGTGGAGGGCTGCGCGCACCGTGCGGAGTTGGAGTGATAATTGGAAAACACCAGGTTATTTACAGAAGGCGCCTGGGTTGATAGCCAGGAGCCTTTAATAGAAACACGGTGAGTCAGTGCCCAGCGCTGCGGTAGGGGTGCAGGGGTGCTGGCGGTGCGGTTGGGTTGCTCTGCTTTACGCTGTAGTCTTTCCACTGACTTTCAGGCAGCATCTGCCAAGACATCACCACTCGGTGATGACTTGAAAATAATGAAATGGAGACATTTCCCGGTAATGTGTCTGCTTCCCTGTTGAGAAGAGATGTCCTTCTAGGAACATCTCGTTACCGTTGGACAGCCCTCAGCTCTTCCCAGAGCATCCACCACCTCCCTGCCAGGCCTTCCCTCTCCTCCTCCTCGGGGACAGAGAGGTGTTTGGTAGACCTCCATGGCAGTCTGTGTGTAGGCTGGTGGCTTCTTCCCAGTGAACCGTCCCTGATCGCAGCCCTTGCCCAGCCCTCGGAGAGCTGTGAGCTCCCATACGATGAGGCAATTCCTCTTTGTCTGTGGTCATTAAAATTTTCTTTCTTCTGCTGAGACTGGATACTCTTTTCTTCCCAGATATCCCAGTTTCTGCCCCATGCCCTCACCCCGCAATTTATTTACCTGCTCCTGGTCTTCAGAAGCGGTGTCTTCTTCCTCACCCTGCTCCTGGAGCCCCTCCTGCTTCACCATCAGGGTCACAGTCAATGTCTCCATACTTCTTTTGGCTCTCTGCATCTCCATGCCTAGCAATGATAGGCCTCACCTATCAGTAGCCCTTGAAATGTAACTGTCTAATCTAAATTGGTCATTTAGGGTCTCCTTTTGGGACCTGGAGTACGGCAGGCACCTCCAGGACAAAATGCCCCATCTCAGCTCTCCCTTCCTTTAAACTGAGTAGGAAACTCAAGTGCTTCAGCTTCTGGGTCTCTTATTTCATGCCCACCCCTACCTGTGCTGGTGCCTGCAGTGCTGTCACGGCTGCAGGACATGCCCTGAGTCCCCTCTAACTATGTGAAGCACGTACAGGACACGGAGCCCACTGGTGACGGCTCCCACCTCCTGCTACTGGGGCAGCACCGGCTGTGCAGATGTGGGGGGGAAACAGTGCACAGTAAAGGAGACCTCAGCCCCTTTTTCCCTAACTGGCCTCATCCCACCCATGCTCTTTAGCCCATTTGCACTGCTCTTGGAAGAATGCACTCTCACCTCCAAGCTGCTTGAGCAGGTTGGGTAATCGGGGTCTGTTGACAAATGCAGGAACCTCCACAGGGGAACTTCTTACTAAGGGACATGCATGAAAGAAGCAGAAATAGCAATGGTGGCTGTTTCATATCCTGTGTCACTGGGGAGGCTCTGAATCAAGGGGGGAGCTTTGTCTTTCCGGGGCTGGGGCTGCTGCTCCGTTCCACCACGAGACTGCACCATGAGCAGCCTCTTCTCTGGGGGAAATTCCACCATGCCTACGCAAGCCGCTGCACGGGCTTCCTCACCCCATAAATTGGGGAGCTGCTGACTGTCTCAGCATCAGACAGAAAAGAGGCTTTCAAGCTCCACTTGCCTGCCTCAGCTCCGGCCACCGCTTCTCAGCTGACATGAAGGTCTCTGTGGCTGCCCTCGCTGTTCTCATCGCCGCCTTCTGCTACCAGACCTCCGCTGCGCCGTGTAAGTCCAGGCTCTCCCTCTCCTCTCTAAATGGGAACAAGAGAGATGTCGCTGCTGGGAGAGGGTCCCTTCTGCCAGGTCTTCCACCCCGGGTCCCTTCCCGTGTCAGACCACCCTCCGGCAGGCACTGCAGGGCCGTTGGGGCTCTCCTGCCATGGGAAAGGCACAGCTTAAAGCACATCATGGGCTGTGTCAGCACCAGCGCAGGGTGAACCCAGAAGAGAAAGAATCAAAGGAAGAAGAAAAAAGACCCCGTCTTTTCTCTTCCTCCTTGACTTCTTCCCCACTCCCCAGACCCGGGGGTCTGCGGTCCCAGCTCCCTGCCCCTGCTCCCCATCCCTTGCCGCTGCTGACGACCGTCTTTGCCCTTCACAGTTGGCTCCGACCCGCCGACCTCCTGC